ATCTGATTGAATTCATCATCATCTACAATATTCGAAATGCCACACTTTGTTTCCTCTCATGGAATCCTTGGAATCTTTGGAAAGTGTGAAAAGTCCTTTGGAGACCATAGGGATTTTTGGGAGGTCCAAAGTTGCATGGGGTCCCACTTCGCGATATTTTGGAATCCTTCGAATCTAATACAAGTCGAGATGATCTACAATAATCGAAATGCCACAATTTGTTTCCCCTCACGGAATCCTTCGAATGTGTGAAAAGTCCTTTGGAGACCATAGGGGTTTTCAGGACATCCAAAGTTGCATGGTGTCCGACTTTGCGATCTTTTGGAATCCTTGGAATCTGATAGAATTCATCATCATCTACAATATTCGAAATGCCACACTTTGTTTCGTCTCATGGAATGCTTGGAATCGGCATGGAAAATCCAAGGTTTCCGTTTTGAGGAAAGTCAGCCAGGTCTCCGCCATGTTTTGTTGTTTCTCTTTTTATGTGTGTTTATGGTTTCCTACTATAGGATGGGTGTTTTTACATCTAATTAAGGTTTTTTCGTTTGGTTTTTTATTTATAGTATAATTAGTATATATTATGTTGATTAATTTTTAATTAGCTAATTAGTTAATTGGGTGAGTCATTTCGTGAAAGTTTTTTTTTCGAATATTTTATATGTGTTTTAAGGTTTACTTCGGATTGGATTGTAGTTCGAATTTTTGGACTCTAGCGTTTCCACAATCGACGACATAGAGATTCCCGTGTCGATCGAATGACAAACCGACTGGTCCATTGAGTTGGTTCGATTGTCCTCCACTACCGTTTCTATCAACAATGACACTTCCTTGTGTGGCTCCTTTCGGCCAACGCATGATTCGATTATTCCATCGATCAGCCACATAGACAGTGCCCAATTGATCGACAACGACTCCTGCAGGCGATGACAATTGTGTAAGATCATTTCCTTGTCCTTGACCACCAGCCACGACAATGCCTTGTTTTGCACCTTCCATCCATTTCATCACACGATGATTGTTCCATTCAGATACGTACACTGAATGATCTCGATCGACGAATACGTATTGTGGGTAATAGAGTTGATCGAGACGATTTCCACTTCCATTGCCACCTGCAACCACTGTTCCTTGAGATTCTCCTCTTTGATATCGTCTCACTTCATTTTTTCCATGGTCAATGACATAGAGAGATCCATTCTCGTCCATTGTCAAACCCCAACAATAGATGTTGGAGATGATTGTTTCTCCACTTGTCCCATTTCGACGAGGCCATCGAACCACTCTTCTATTCGAAGTATCGCATATGATGAGACTATCTCTCTCTTTGTCGATAATCACATCTCTTGGGTTATGCAATTGATGATTTCCACTTCCTTGTCCATTTCCACCGGCAACCACTTGGCCACTTGTTGCACCTCGTTTCCATTCCACAATACGGTGATTCGTTCGATCAGCAACATAGATTGTTTGATCATCATCAACATACAAACCCAATGGGTATGAGAGTTGATTGATTCCATTGCCTTGTCGATTTCCTCCAGCCACAGTGATACCATTTTGTTGCCATCGAGCATTCGGATGAATGTTGGTGCTGGATGGAGAACGTAATGAATAGTCTAAAATAGAGACAAGAAAAAGAGTTATAAAATAAGAGAGAGAAAGTTTCTCTTCATAGAAATCGAATTTTGTTACAAGACGAGAAACCCTTTTTAGTCAAATTCTCAACTTTGTTAACAACAATTATTTTTTTAACTCTTTTTTTACGATGATAGAGATGTATGAGAAAGATGAAGACATTGAATGAGAAATATGGGTTTTGCTTCTATGATTTTGCAACGAATTCATGTATAAAAATCATGAACTGATCAAACCAGTTTTTCGATATGTTACGGATCATCGCTGTCTTGGAAGCATGTCTTTTATTATATTGCTGATCTATGAAAGAGTCTCTCGAATTTTTGAAACATTATTCTATGAAATATATATGACCTATTTCTTGTTTTACTTTCGTTTGCAATTATCTCATCAAATTGTAAATGCGATAAAACATGTAAAATTCATCTGTGTAAACTCGCTTTATCCTCGACTAAATATTCGGCTCGTTCGCTATTTTATACTTCTTTGCAGCTCTCAACAAAGCTATTATCCAACATTTGAAAAAGTATGTGTGTGGATGCTGATACTAGTGTCAGTCTCCTGGTGCATGATGGTATGTGTGTCCATGTAAGAATTTTTGTCATAAACTCATCTCATCAAACTGGTATCCACACATCGATACTCAACAGAAATCTAAATGAACTATACACACACTAGAAAAAAAAACAGATTATATTTACAATTTACTGAAAGGGTCACGAACAAGGGGGGGAATCGACTGATATAAGAATCAGCTAAAAACTCAAAATTAAATCCGTTAAATCATCTTAACTTATTTTAAATCACATAAATCAGCTTGAATTCATTGTAACTCAGCATAAATTATTTTAAATCAATATAGCTTTAAAAAATTCTTACAGTCGAAAAAATATACTCAAACTTGATATTTTTGTTTAATCACTATTTATGGGTTTTTTTTTGGAAATTATTTGATTAAAA